CTTATCTCACTGGTTATGGCCTGCCATTTAGGTTGTGCGAGTAGGTCACTTCAAAAGAGTTATTACACTTATTATATTAGACGAAAGGTAGAAGGCTTTCAGCGTTTAACACTTTCCATGAGAGATACTGTAGTTAGCATAGATTAGTCTCAACAGAACGATCAAATCGCAGGGAAGTTAAACGAAATACCATCTCGTAAGCTAGTGAATGCGAAACAACTTGGCAAATGGCTACAAAAAACACGCACGCGGAGAGAGTTCGACAAACGAATGTACTGCCAACAAACAGTTCGGTCAGTCGTTCACCATTTTACAGTGGTTTAAATTAGCCCATGATATAACAGATGAGAGTCGTGATACCAACAGGCCAGATGCTAGCAATAAATATTATTGATTGATTACCAAAATTATTACGAAGGCCGGTATTGAACTCAAAACAACCAGACGACGAGACTCAAGACGTTCTTTTGTTTAAAAAAACCTATTTTGAATGCAAATAGCGACCGCTTATCCGCTGTTTGCTCGACAATACTCCAACTGGCAATCTAACGATTTTGACATTTTGCTTTGCATATGGTTGACCGATAAAAAACATTCAACTATAAGGTTAGTTTTGCCTTACCTTGTTACGTCAAGCGATCCGGCGCCGGACTTGAAAAAGTCTGTGTCTGGCGTGAAGTTTTCAGTATTAAGTATGTTCTTCCACGAATTCTGTAAAAAGCAAAATAAAAAGTTTTCTAAGTAATTTTAGCCTCGATTACCGTTATCGCAGTTTTGAGAACAAGCTCGTTTTCGTTAAAGTCCAGAACAACGTCGTTCGCATCACCCATCTGGCCATACCTCGATGCGGGTATCATCCCGGTATCCTCAGAGGAAACAAAATGAACGTTTACCTACAATTGAGGAATATGTTTAGCTATAATTGAATCTGCAGAGTCTGAGATCAGATTTTAATTTAATATTCATTCGATTTAATATTTTGATTACATGTAAGACGCCAAATGTCCATCGAAAGAAAAGTATTGAGAAGATCATCGCCTACATACACTTCGGTTAGGAGATAAGCATGTGGCATGACATTTGAAAGTGGTGTGCACCTTCGAGAACAACCTTTTGGCGCAGTTACAAGACAAACGTGGATCCTAGAACAATAGTTAAACGCTAAACTGAACCTGGAGCTCCTAAACGCAACCATACAGCACTTCATACTGTACCACAGTAAAATCTGTTCATCAGTAAGCATAGCGCTATCTAACAGCCAGCCGTGAAAAAATAAACATAGGAGATCTTCACAAACGCGTGAATATCAAATCAGTGGGACCGTAAAATGACCGCAGTGAAGAATGTTGTGCTGGATGAAAGAAAGAACAAACTGGTATGGTCTGGGCATGCTGCGAGCCGAAATAACATCAGATGGGGGTTTCTAATATCTGAATGGAGTCAGAAGCAAGTGAAACCTCATAGAGGTCGACC